TTAAAATTTTATCTAAAATTATCAAGTTATATTCATTTTACTCTCCTGAAAATAGAATCTTTGAAAAATGAAAAGGACAAAAGCAAATTCCAAAATCCCTGTTTCATGTTAGGTAAGATCTTAAAGAAAGATGCTTTTCCAACTAAATCATGCATTCAAGCAAACACAATTTTATTTAATTAAATTGGCCGTCTTGGAAGAGAGTTCCTAGCACTTGATGTGGTGGAAAATATATACTTTTTTATATATATTCGGCGTTGGTAGCAATGATCAATATGCAACCATGAGAGCGGTTACAATTTCCTTGTTTGGATTTCTTCTTGTCATCGCAGCCACCATTATTAGCTTTTGTGATGGGAATTCCAATGTGCTTTGCATTGAGAGTGAGAGGCAAGCTCTTTCGAAGTTCAAGCAACACCTAATTGATCGATCAAACAGGCTATCTTCTTGGGTTGAAGGTGAGGATTGCTGTGAATGGGTTGGTGTTTTCTGCAATAATTTCACTGGCCATGTCAAAGAGCTGCATTTGGGGCTTCATTCAAGTAGTCCTGACATAGAACAGGATGATGAACGGGATGTTTTTTCAGTCAGCTGAACGGATGTACTTTCGATCAAAGCTAGGAGGCAAAATAAATCCTTCTTTGATCGAGTTGAAACATCTCAGTTTCCTAGACTTAAGCAACAACGACTTTGGAGGCCTGGCAATTCCTGAATTCATTGGTTCGATGAAGAGTTTGACATATCTTAACCTCTCTTCGGCAAAATTAGCAGAGCAATTCCCCATAATCTTGGAAATCTCTCAAAATTACATTATCTTGATCTTGGACACAATTCCTTTTTTGAAGCTAAAACTCTTCAATGGGTTTCTGGTCTTTCGTCTCTGCAGTATCTTGATTTGAGTGATGCAAATCTTACTAAAGCAACTGATTGGCTGCAGGCAACACACAAACTTCCTTCTTTGGTGGAGTTGCACTTGTCAGATTGCTATTTAAATAATAATGATCCATCTTCAATCAGTGTTAACTACACATCTCTTGCCGTTCTTGATCTTTCTTCAAACATGTTGTCTTCGATACCTACATGGATATTCAGTCTTCGTAGTATCGTGTCCATTGATCTTAGCTCTAATGGAGTTGAAGGTGTGATTCTCAATGGTTTTCAAAACATATCTTCTCTCAAATTTCTTGATCTTAGTTGGAATTCATTCTCTTCATCATCGACACTCATCTGGTTGTCTAATTTGAACCGACTTCAATTCCTTGGTCTTCGTGGTGTCAGCCTGCAAGGTAATTTTTCAATTGCCATTAGAAACTTGAGCTCTCTTACTCATCTTGATCTTTCAGCTAACCAGCTTGAATTATAGAACCCAAATGTTTGGAAAGTCTTTGCAATCTGAGGGAGATGGATTTGTCAAATAATGGAATTGATCAAGAAGTATCAGAAATCATAGAAGTTTGCCTAGATGTAGTTTGGATCGATTAGAATCATTAAATATTGCATCTAACAACTTCTGGTCATTTACCTGACAACTTGGCCAATTTAAAATTTGGTATACCTTTCCCTCTCTGGAAACTCCATTTCTGTCCCATTCATTCTCAATAGGGAAGTTATCATCATTGAAGTTCTTGATGTTTCACTCAATCGATTGAATGCACTCTCCCTCAAAGTTTAGGACAACTTGGGAATTTGGAACATTTAGACGTTAGCAATAATATGTTGGAAGGAAATATATCAGAAATGCCCTTTTCTAATCTCAAGAGATTGAGATTATTTGGGCATCTACAACATGTTAACGTTTAAAACCAAATCCAAGTTGGATTCCTCCTTTTCAATTGTGAAAGTATTAAGCTGCGTAACTGGCATATTGGTCCGCATTTCCTCAGTGGCTACAATTCCAAAAGAATTTGTCTGTTTTAGATATCTCACATGCTGAAATTTCAGGTGTCATTCCCACTTGGTTTTGGAACCTTTCGACTCAAATTTGATTATCTAAACCTTTCCTATAACCATCTAGTTGGGGAGATTTCATATTTACCGAGAGTAGGATGGTTGACTTGACGTCCAACCTACTCACTGGTCCATGCCACGAGCAAATTCAAATTTGGAGTTTTTATTTTTGTCTAAGAATCTATTTTCAGGATCCCTTTCTAATTTTCTTTGCAATTCCTCAACTAAACTGGAAGCTTTGGAACTTCTTGACATTGAATCAAATCTTCTGTCAGGTGAAATTCCAGATTGTTGGGAAAATCAGCCAAAGTTGGGAGTCTTAAATTTAGGAAACAACAATCTAACTGGCAAAATTCCTAGATCCTTGGGATCTTTGCAGAATATTATGTCATTAAAACTTCGTACCAATAACCTGTTTGGAGAAGTACCATCCACATTGCAACATTTAACTTATATGCTTATTCTTGATCTTAGTGAAAATCAATTAACGGGAAGTATTCCAGCATGGAATGGAGACAAGCTTTTAAACCTTGTGGTTCTAAACCTTCGTTCAAATAAATTCCAAGCCCATATTCCTGATCAAATTTGTTCTCTTAATTCTCTTCATTTCTTGGATCTTGGTTATAACAACATTTCAGGAGCCATTCCAAAATGTTTTAGTAACCTAAAACCCTTGGACCGAGACGGTTTGGCCTGGGGTTTGTTAATTGACTCTTACAACTTGTATTATTTTGGTGCATTATTGGTGAGGAAGGAAGAGAGGATGAATACAGTACCATACTAGGTCTTGTTACCGGCATAGACCTATCAGTAAACAGTCTCACAGGAGAGATCCCAAAGAACTTGGCAATCTCACGTGGCTGCAGTCATTAAATTTGTCAGGGAATCTCCTTACAGGAAAGATACCAGAGAACATTGGCAATATGAAGTTGTGGAATCTCTTGACTTGTCGATGAACCGATTGCATGGTGAAATCCCTTCAAGTTTCTCCAATTTGAATTTCTTGAATCACTTGAACTTGTCCTACAACAACTTGACAGGACAAATTCCATCAGGCACCCAGCTCCAAAGCTTTGACAGGTTTTCTTACATTGGCAATCATCTTTGCGGACCTCCAATCACTAAAAATTGCAGCGGTGGAACACCTGGAATTACAAATGGAGATAGCAGTGAAGGAAGGCACAGGTCTAAGGTGAATTGGCTTTATGTGAGCATAGTGGTTGGATTTGTGATGGGGTTTTGGGGAGTAGTGGCTCCCCTGTTTTTCATCAGGTCTTGGAGGTTTGCTTACTATAAAAAACTAGAGCATATTGGTGATAAGCTATACGTGTTTTGGGCTACTATTGGTATGTAATTTGTACTGAAAGCTCATTTTGGTGTGTTTGGTAATGTAATAACTTGATTTGCATGCTGTTTACTTGATTCATGTATTTGGATTTGGACGTAGTATTTCATGTTATAATTTATTTAAATGAGATAGAGTTATGTCTTAATTTATCTCACTTATCGATATCTATTTAAGTTTTATTCAATATAAGATAAAAGTTGTCTATTACAAATTTAAACTTTTCAAAACTCAAAATAATTTTAAATGATATATAGGATAAAATTGAGTGTCCACAGTCTTTACTAACTAGATAATTTCTTATAAGGGAGAAAAAAAAGTTATTCATGTCTACAATTTCTTTATTGTCTCCCTCATCTTCTATTTCACTTGCCTTTGAAATTTGTTGTCTTGGGCAACCCTATGGATGGTAACTAATTTATCTTTTTTTACCTTAAGTAAGTACAAAACATTTGCCTTTGGCGAAGCCATTTATTTGACTGCAATGTCCTTTCTTGCATTAAATAATGCATGTAAAAATTGCATTTTTTTACTTTCAAATTTGATCTTTTGACTTCACTAATGCAAACCCTTCTATATAATGTGACATTAGGGACAGATCAAGTCATGAAAAGGGCCTATCATAGAGACATTTTTAGTTTACATGGGTCGAATTATGTATGTCATGAAAAACCAATTCATACCCTTTAGTATTGAATTATTAATTAATCCCTAACTACAAAACATTAATTAGAATGAATTCTTTGTATAATTTTTTTACTTAATATCTTTATTTTGTTAATTTTGAACGCATAATTTTGTGAATTACTTTCGTCTTCATCTTAAAAATCGTTCAACAATCATAATTTATAAATAAAATATTAAAGTTTTTGTTTCAACTATTAGAATCATTTTTAAAATTTTTAAATAAAAAACTAAATGATTTATTGAATTTCATATAAGCAAACTATTTATAAACATAAAGAAAACAAGTTTTTTTGGCTGCGGGAGTGATGACGTTATGGCCATGGTGATATACATATGGCATGGCCAACATGATGCAAAACCCAAATTTAATTACCCCAAAAAGCTGACAAAAGAGAAAGCAAGGGATGATAAGGAGTGGCCTTGAGCTACAAAACGAGAGATTTAGCCTAAAAACGAGGCGCATTGCCAGCCAACCTACACTCAGAAATCTTCCCTCGTGTGGGCTACCTGTCCCACAAAGCCTACTGCACCATCCCCTGGACGCCACACTTGTGCATTCCAATCCCTAAACACTGTCACAATCTCTCAGACACCACACGTGTGGCCAATTTTACATTTTTTTCCCTGTTCTTTCCTCTCTTATCAGTGTATCGTACACTATATTTGTTAGGAATATCAATTTTATATAAACTAGTGCTGTGCTGTAGCCCTGTTTTGTTTGGGATTGACTGATATTAATAATTTTTTTAAAGTATATTAGAAAGATAGAATTAAAGATTTTTAAATGCATTATATTTGTATTTATATATTAAATAAAAAATTGGAAGTAACACATTATAAAAGAAATAGTATAATTTAGTGAGAGATTAAAAAGTTAATATTATAATTTTGTTTTATGTACCAAATAAAATAAAAGCATGAAATAAATTTATATACAAAAATAGACTCCCTCGAACAAAATCTAATTAGAAAAATTGGACGGCTATTATGTGTAAAAACTTATACAATAACAAACTCTTTAAAAATCCAACCTATAAAACAACCTATATTTCCTCACACCTCAAAGCCGATTAAACCAAAAAAAAAAAGAAGTTGTCATGTGTAGAAGGTTTATTCATATTCCCTCACATCCCAAAGCTCACTAATCCCCAAAAAAAAAATTGCCATGTATAGATGATTTATGGGACTCATTTTATAGATAGCAGTATAGATTTAACAAAAATTTTGATTTTTTATCTTGATAAGATAAAGATGAGTTTTTAATTTTGAGACGGTGATGAAATTAAATTTTAAATATGATTTTAAAATTTTGTATCAATACAAATATAAAGATAGATAATATAGTATTTACCTCGTACCTGTACTTATATATTATATATATATTTATTTATATTTAATAAATTAATTTTTTATTTAATAATATAAATTTCATTTTAGATTAATTAGACTTGATATATACATATTTATATATATATTAAAAAAATTATATAAATTTACAAGATAAAAATTAAAAAAAAACTAAAAAAAATTATTTTTTATTTTTTATAAAAAAGCTAAGGGTACGAAAATTATCTATACCTATTATATACTATAGGAATGAGGATAAATTTGAAATATCTATGGAATATAGTTCTAAGCTAAGAATAATATAAAAAATTAAGAATGATAATAAAAATAAAAAATGTTCTATTCGCCCCACATCATACTTATTAACATCCCTAATATTTGACTATATCCATAAAAAACCCAAATTTTACTCTTGATGTTTAGCTCATTTAATTTATATTGTCAATTTAAAAATTGATATTAAATTTGTTTAAAATTCAAATAACTATAATTATAACTTTTTATATTTTCAAATTTTAATTTTTTAAAAAAAACCTATATATTTTTATATTTTCAAATTTCGATTTTTAAACCCAAAACTCGTAAATTTGTTTTGGAGTTTAGCTTTTACATGACCTTTTTGCATTGGCAATAACATGCACGCTTCCATCATAGCTTTGTTTGTCCTCCTAACCAACAATAACAACAAGAACTTTGGTCTTTTGAAAAACTTAATTGGATTTGTGATAGGAAGGAGGATTGCGACTTCACCAATCACCAACAAAAGCTTTGAAATTAGAGTAAGATATAACTATAATTGGAATTAATGAGGACTTAAGGATAAGGAAATGCATAACCCAACAAATTCAATTAGCTAGACTTTAAGTTCATCTTTCTTAAGTCAATTATGGAGACTAAAAGGCAAAAGTTTTTCAATGTATGAACCTAATATTCAATCTAATTAATTTATATAATTATTTTCAAAAATAATATCTAACATATTTAAGATTTAAATTTTAATAACTGTAATCTCTTCACCTATTTTCAAATTGTAATTTTTTTGTATAAAAAAGTTACAAATAAAAATTGCTTTATCTTATCTTGGACACAATTACCTATTTGAGGCCAAAACTCTTCCATGGGTTTCTGGTCTTTCGTCTCTGCAGTATCTTGATTTGAGTGATGCAAATCTTACTAAAGCAATTAATTGGCTGCAGGCAACACACAAACTTCCTTCTTTGGTGGAGTTACACTTGTCAGAATGCTCTCTAAACAATAATCCATCTCCAATCAGTGTTAATTACAAATATCTTACTGTTCTTGATCTTCCCGGCAACACGTTGTCTTCGGTACCTACATGGACATTCAGTCTTCGTAGTCTTGAGTCCATTGATCTAAAATCTAATGGAGTTGAAGATGTGATTCCCAATGGTTTTCAAAACATGTCTTCTCTCGAATTTCTTGATCTCAGTTGGAATTCATCCTCTTCATCATCGACACTCAGCTGGTTGTCTAATTTAAACCAACTTCAGTTCCTTGGTCTTCGTCACGTCGGCCTGCAAGGATTTTTCCAAGTGCCATTGGAAACTTGATCTCTCTTACTCATCTTTATCTTTCAGATAACCAGCTTGAAATTATAGAACCCAAATGTTTGGAAAGTCTTTGCAATCTGAGGGAGATGGATTTGTCAAATAATGGAATTGATCAAGAGGTATCAGAAATCATAGAGAGTTTGCCTAGATGTAGTTTGGATCGATTAGAGTCATTAAATATTGCATCTAACAAACTTTCTGGCCATTTACCTGATCAACTTGGCCAATTTAAAAATTTAGCATACTTTTCCCTTTCTGGAAACTCCATTTCTGGTCCCATTCCATTATCAATACGGAAGTTGTCAGCATTGAAAGTTCTTGATGTTTCATACAATCGATTGAATGCAACTCTTCCTCAAAGTTTAGGACAACTTGGGAATTTGGAAGATTTAGACGTTTTAGACGTTAGCAATAATATGTTGGAAGGAAACATATCAGAAACGCACTTTTCTAATATGACAAGATTGAGATTTTTTAAGGCATCTAACAATATGTTAACGTTTAAACCAAATCCAAGTTGGATTCCTCCTTTCCATTCTGAAAGTATTGAATTGGGTAGCTGGCATCTTGGTCGGCAATTTCCTCAGTGGCTACAATTCCAAAAGAACTTATCTCTTTTAGATATCTCCCATGCTGAAATTTCAGGTGTCCTTCCCACTTGGTTTTGGAACGTTTCGACTCAATTTGAATATCTAAACCTTTCCCATAACCAATTGGTCGGGGAGATTTCATATATACCAGTAAGATATAACGTATATATCTGAAAATGTATCATTATTTTTTAATGTATTTATCATTTCCATTCATATGCCTATGATTTAAATGAAAGTCATACTAATAATCCGTGATTAAAGTTATATTAAAAATTAATGAAAAAATAATTGTGTAAATTATGAGAAAATTTACAAAATTCGAGTTTTACCCTTCATAGATCACATACATAAAGTACTATAATTTCATATTTATATAAGACCACGAATTACGTTTGAATTAATATTCTTTTTTCGACAGTTTGCTTAATTTTAATGAAACATATATAACAAACTTTCTTTTAACAAAAAAGAAAAAAAAAAACTAGAGCAAAAAATGGTATGCAAAAAGAGTCTTAACTTCTCTAAATTTTATGTAATTTTAAATTTTCTAAATTCTTTTTTTTTCTCTTTTCTAAGATTTAAAGAGTCTTAATTACGTGGCCGTGGGACTTACTCCATTTGATTGACTAGATTTGTCCTTTTTTGTTCTTTCTTCTACACTTTGTGGAATTTTAAACATACGTATGAATGCTTTTTGTAGAAAATTCAAGTTGGAAAATTGGAGGTCTTGGAAGAAACTTCCTAGCACTTGATGTGGTAGAAAATATTTTTCTTTAAATTTATATATTCGGTGTTGGTAGCAATGATCGGTATGTAACCATGAGAGCAGTTACAATTTCCTTTTTTGGATTTCATCTTGTCATCGCAGCCACCGTTATTAGATTTTGTGATGGGAATTCCAATGTGCTTTGCATTGAAAGTGAGAGGCAAGCTCTTTTGAAGTTCAAGCAACACCTAATTGATCGATCAAACAGGCTATCTTCTTGGGTTGAAGGTGAAGATTGCTGTGAATGGGTTGGTGTTTTCTGCAAAAACTTCACTGGCCATGTCAACGAGTTGCACTTGGGGCTTCGTTCAATTGGTTTTGATGTGTATAAGCCACCGGCTGTACGGGATGCTTAAGTTGGATCAAAGCCAGGAGGCAAAATAAATTCTTCTTTGATCGAGTTGAAACATCTTAGTTTCCTAGACTTAAGCAACAACGACTTTGGAGGCCTGGTGATTCCCGAATTCATTGGTTGGCTGAAGAGCTTGACATATCTTAAACTCTCTTGGACAAATTTCCGAAGAGCAATTCCCCATAATCTTGGAAATCTCTCAAAATTGCATTATCTTGATCTTGGACACAATTTCCTATTTGAAGCTAAAACTCTTCAATGGGTTTCTGGTCTTTCGTCTCTGCAGTATCTTGATTTGAGTGATGCAAATCTTACTAAAGCAACTGATTGGCTGCGGGCAACACACAAACTTCCTTCTTTGGTGGAGTTACACTGTTCTTGACCTTTCCAGAAACATGTTGTCTTCGGTGCCTACATGGATATTCAGTCTTTGTAGCCTTATGTCCATTGATCTTAGCCTTAATGGAGCTGAAGGTTTGATTCCCAATGGTTTTCAAAACATGTCTTCTCTCAAATTTCTTGATCTTAGTTGGAATTCATTCTTTTCATCATCGACACTCAGCTGGTTGTCTAATTTAAACCAACTTCAATTCCTTGGTCTTGTTGATGTCGGCCTGAAAGGTAATTTTCTAAGTGCTATTGGAAACTTGAGCTCTCTTACTCATCTTGATGTTTCACGTAATGGAATTGATCAAGAGGTATCAGAAATCATAGAGAGTTTGTCTAGATGTAGTATGGATCGATTAGAGTCATTAAATATTGCATCTAACAAACTTTCTGGCCATTTACCTGATCAACCTGGCCAATTTAAAATTTTGGCATACGTTTCCCTTGCTGGAAACTCCATTTCTGGTCCCATTCCATTCTCAATAGGGAAGTTATCATCATTGAAAGTTCTTGATGTTTCACACAATCGATTGAATGCAACTCTCCCTCAAAGTTTAGGACAACTTGGGAATTTGGAACATTTAGACGTTAGCAATAATATGTTGGAAGGAAATATATCAGAAATGCACTTTTCTAATCTCACGAGATTGAGATTATTTTGGGCATCTAACAACATGTTAACGTATAAACCAAATCAAGTTGGATTCCTCCTTTTCACTGCGAAATTATTGAATTGCGTAACTTGCTTATTGGTCCGCAATTTCTTCAGTGGCTACAATTCCAAAAGAACTTGTCTCTATTAGATATCTCCCATGCTGAAATTTCAGGTGTCCTTCCCACTTGGTTTTGGAACGTTTCGACTCAATTTGAATATCTAAACCTTTCCCATAACCAACTGATCGGGGAGATTTCATATTTACCAGTGAGTTATGTTATTGACTTGAGTTACAACCTATTCACAGGTCCATTGCCACTAGCAATTTCAAATTTGGAGTTTTCATTTTTGTCTAATAATCTATTTTCAGGACCCCTTTCTAATTTTCTTTGTAATTCCTCAACTAAACGGGAAACTTTGACCTTTCTTGACATTGAATCAAATCGTCTATCAGGTAAAATTCCAGATTGATGGAAAAATTGGCAAAGTTTGCAAGTTTTGAATTTTGGAGACAACAAAAAAGGGCAAGTTAAATCATCCAAGTCTATGGAGTAAGTCCCATGGTCAACTAATTGCCTTAGAAAAGAGAAAAAAAAATTGAAAAATTTAGGAAAAAAAAAAGTAAGATTAGAGAAGAACTTCTTTAAATTTTATGTACTTTTTTTTTCTGAACTTTTTAATTTTTTTCTCCCTTCTAAAACCTAAGGACTCTTAATTAGCTGGCCGTGGAACTTACTCCATAGATTTGGCTGACTTGGCTTGCCCTTTTTTTATTTTTCTTTCTACTCTTTGTTGAATTTTAAACATACATATGAATTCTTTTTTGTGAAAAATTCAAACTGAATAATTAGAGGTCTTAGAAGAAACTTCCTAACATTTGATATGATCAAAAATGCTTTTCTTTTAACTTTTATGTATTCGTTGTTAGTATCAACGATCAGTATGCAGCCAAGAACGCGGTTACAGTATCCTTGTATCAAATATTATTAAAATTTTATCTAAAATTATCAAATTACATTCATTTCACTTACCTAAAAAAAAAAAAGAATCTTTGAAAAATGAAAAGGACAAAAGCAAATTTCAAAATCCCCTGTTTCATGTTTGGTAAGATCTTAAAGAAAGATGCTTTTCCAACTATATCTTGCATTCAAGTAAACACAATTTTACTTAATTAAATTGGAGGTTTTGGAAGAGAGTTCCTAGCACTTGATGTGGTGTAAAATATTTTTCTTTTTTATATATTCTGTGTTGGTAGCAATGATCAATATGCAACCATGAGAGCGGTTACAATTTCCTTGTTTGGATTTCTTCTTGTCATCGCAGCCACCATTATTAGCTTTTGTGATGGGAATTCCAATGTGCTTTGCATTGAGAGTGAGATGCAAGCTCTTTCGAGGTTCAAGCAACACCTAATTGATCGATCAAACAGGCTATCTTCTTGGGTTGAAGGTGAGGATTGCTGTGAATGGGTTGGTGTTTTCTGCAATAATTTCACTGGCCATGTCAAAGAGCTGCATTAGGGGCTTCATTCAGGTAGTCCTGACATAGAACTGGATGATGAACGGGATGTTTACTTTCAGTCAGCTGAACGGGATGCTTACTTTCTGTCAAAGCTAGGAGGCAAAATAAATCCTTCTTTGATCGAGTTGAAACATCTCAGTTGCCTAGACTTAAGCAACAACGACTTTGGAGGCCTGGCAATTCCTGAATTCATTGGTTCGAGGAAGAGTTTGACATATCTTAACCTCTCTTCGGCAAAATTCAGCAGAGCAATTCCCCATAATCTTGGAAATCTCTCAAAATTACATTATCTTGATCTTGGACACAATTCCTTTTTTGAAGCTAAAACTCTTCAATGGGTTTCTGGTCTTTCGTCTCTGCAGTATCTTGATTTGAGTGATGCAAATCTTACTAAAGCAACTGATTGGCTGCAGGCAACAAACAAACTTCCTTCTTTGGTGGAGTTACACTTATCAGATTGCTCTTTAAATAATAATGATCCATCTTCAATCAGTGTTAACTACACATCTCTCGCCGTTCTTGATCTTTCTTCAAACATGTTGTCTTCGATACCTACATGGATATTCAGTCTTCGTAGTCTTGTGTCCATTGATCTTAACTCTAATGCAGTTGAAGGTGTGATTCCCAATGGTTTTCAGAACATGTCTTCTCTCAAATTTCTTGATCTTAGTTGGAATTCATTCTCTTCATTATCGACACTCAGCTGGTTGTCTAATTTAAACCAACTTCAATTCCTTGGTCTTGTTTATATCAGCCTAAAAGGTAATTTTTCAAGTGCTATTGGAAACTTGAGCTCTCTTACTCATCTTGATGTTTCACGTAATGGAATTGATCAAGAGGTATCAGAAATCATAGAGAGTTTGTCTAGATGTTGTTTGGATCGATTAGAGTCATTAAATATTGCATCTAACAAACTTTCTGGCCATTTACCTGATCAACTTGGCCAATTTAAAAATTTGGCATACCTTTCCCTTTCCGGAAACTCTATTTCTGGTCCCATTCCATTGTCAATCGGGAAGTTGTCATCATTGAAATTTCTTTATGTTGCAAAAAATCGATTGAATGCAACTCTTCCTCAAAGTTTAGGACAACTTGGGAATTTGGAACATTTAAACGTCAGCAATAATATGTTGGAAGGAAATATATCAGAAATGTTCTTTTCTAATCTCTTGGGATTGACAGTTTTTTGGGCATCTAACAACATGTTAACGTTTAAACCAAACCCAAGTTGGATTCCTCCTTTTCAATGGAAAAGTATTGGATTAGGTAACTGGCGTCTTGGTCGGCAATTTCCTCAGTGGCTACAGTTCTAAAGGAACATATCGCGGTTAGATATCTCCCATGCTGGAATTTCAGGTGTCATTCCCACTTGGTTTTGGAGCCTTTCAACATCATTTGTATATCTAAACCTTTTCCATAACCATCTAGTCGGGGAGATTTCATATTTACCGAAGAGTAGGATCGTTGACTTGAGGTCCAACCTACTCACAGGTCCATTGCCACGACCAATTTCAAATTTGGAGTTTTTATTTTTGTCTGAGAATCTATTTTCAGGATCCCTTTCTAATATTCTTTGTAATTTCTCAACTAAACTGGAAACTTTGACCATTCTTGACATTGAATCAAATCTTCTGTCAGGTGAAATTCCAGATTGTTGGGAAAATTACCAAACGTTGGAAGTCTTAAATTTAGGAAACAACAATCTAAATGGGAAAATTCCTAGATCCTTGGGATCTGTAGGTGGTATCGAGTCATTAAACCTTCGTAACAATAACCTGTTTGGAGAAGTACCATCTATATTGCAGCATTTAGCTAATTTGCTTATTCTTGATCTTTGTGAAAATCAATTAACGGGAAGTATTCCAGCTTGGATTGGAGACAAGCTTTTAAGCCTTGTGGTTCTAAACCTTCGTTCAAATAAATTCCAAGCCATATTCCTGATCAAATTTGTGCTCTTAATTCTCTTCAGTTCTTGGATCTTGGTTATAACAACATTTCAGAAGCTATTCCAAAATGTTTTAGTAACCTAAGTGCCATGGCCGCAAAACCCCTCAACGGAATCTTGTATCGATGGGTCTTGGAATTCCACCCTAACAACTGGTTTTATTTAGGTGCATTATTGGTGATGAGAGGAAGAGAGGATGAATATAGTACCACACTAGGACTTGTTACCGGCATAGACCTTTCAGGTAACAGTCTCACAGGAAAGATCCCCAGAGAACTTGGTAATCTCAAGGAGCTGCGGTCGTTATATTTGTCAGGAAATCTCCTAACAGGACAGATACCAGAGAACATTGGCAATCTGGAGGTGTTGGAATCTCTTGACTTGTCGATGAACCGACTCCAAGGTGAAATCCCTTCAAGTTTCTCCAATTTGAATTTTTTGAATCACTTCAACGTGTCATATAACAACTTGACAGGAAAAATCCCATTAGGCACCCAGCTCCAAAGCTTTGACAATTTTTCTTACATTGGCAATCTTCTTTGCGGACCTCCAATCACTAAAAATTGCAGCAGAAATGGCGAAACACCTGATGTTATAAATGGAGGTAGCAGTGAAGGAAGGCACAGGTTTGAGGTGAATTGGCTTTATGTGAGCATGGTGGTTGGATTTGTCATGGGGTTTTGGGGAGTTGTGGCTCCCCTGATTTTCATCAGGTCTTGGAGGTTTGCTTATAATAAAATACTGGAGCATATTGGTGATAAGTTATACGTGTTTTGGGTTACTATTGGTATGTAATTTGTACTGGATGCTTAATAGTATGTAATTTGTACTGGAAGCTCATTACAGTGTGTTTCGTAATGAATAACTTGATTTGCATGCTCTTTGCTTGATCTAGGTATTCGGATATGAAAATGGTATTCCATGTTATAATTTATTGAAATGAGATAGAATTGTGTCTTAATATATATCACTCATAAATGTTTATTCAAGTTTTATTCAATATGGAGTGAAAGTACTTTTAAAGAGGGCAAAATCATTAATCATTTAAATTAAAATATTTGTCGTCTTAGTCATATTTATGATTTTGATGTGTTGTTCAAAAGTAAAAATCTAAGCCAACGAGAACTTAGGTTAATAAAGAGGAAGTTTTAAAATCTTAATGTCTTAGATTAAAGTCTAATCATACATGAGTTTGATTCAATTTCAAATTAAATTTGTCTATGTTTTGATTCGTTGATTGCTTTAGTGATTTATTTATATTTATTTTTAAGGGTTTGTTTTCTTCTAGTTTTATTAATGATGTATCATCGTATGATTATCTGATAGTATATAAAATTTATGCCCGGTTAGTGTATCAAATATTAACTTTTTTTATATATTGATGCAATAGTTATTATGATTGTAACTTTTTTTTGTATTTGCAATTTTTTTAAAAAAATCAAAATTTTATCAATAAGTACTATAAATAATATAGAAAATTACCTAAATTGTATTAAAGGTTACAAAAAATTTTATAAATGAATATCAAACTTCTAACATTGGTTATAAATTATATTAAAGGTATTTAAAATCAAAATTATATGAAAACTATTAAAATTGTATCAAATATTAGTAAAATTTTATCCAAAATTATCAACTTATATTCATTTCACTTATCTAAAAAAAGGAATTTTTGAAAAATAGAAAGGACAAAAGCAAATTTCAAAATCCTCAGTTTCATGTTGGGTAAGATCTTAAAGAAAGTTGCTTTTCCAACCAAATCTTGCATTCAAGCAAACCCAATTTCAGTTAATTAAAAGACAATAATTTCATAGCTTTGTTGGTTACTTTAACAATTTTTTAATTAATATGCTTGCCAAAGAATAAATTTATAGGCTTTGGCTTTGGGGTTGCTTCAAAGTCATTAGACACCAAAATGCCAGTTAAATTTGGTTATAAAACATGGTTCAATCACCTTATTCCCAAAGACTTTTTTTTTCAATTCCCAACAAAAGCATGTTTTGACTATTAATAGGAATTGTTCTCTTTTTATGGTCCTTTTTTCTTATTGGATTAATGCTAATGCGTTCCACGTTAGCATAATGATATTATTTTAAATTCATTTACATAAATTTGATCTCTTTATTTATCATCAAATAATTGCTAATCTAACATTTATTGATTTTTAAATTGATTGAATTAATCTTCGATTCATTATAAAAATAATTTTAGAATCTACATTTGTATATAACTTGTAATAAAATTTTTATTTCATATTTCAACTTTTTTTAAAAAAAAATTATTTTTCATTTCAATTATTAAAGCAAACTTTTACTCTTTTTTTGTTTTCTAAAAATTTTAAAATAAAAATAACTTTATTTTATAAAACTAAATACTAACTTAACTTCTCTAATTTTATTTTTCAAAATATTTTTTTTCTTTTTTTAAGACTTAAGGAGTTTTAAGTAGTTGGCCGTGAAATTTACTCCATAATCTTGGAAGAAAATTCTTAGTGCTTGACGTGGTGGAAAATGTATTTTTTTTTTTACTTTATATATTCGGTGTCACATCTAATTATAAATATAACATATATTTATTAATTAAAAACAATAAAAAATTATCAAATACGATAAGTTATAAAATATTAAAAAAAAATAATGTATATTTTTTGTTTTGACAATTAAAAATATTTTTTTCATATTTTAACTTATTTTTATTTTTAATTATTAAATACATTTTCACTTATATTTTTATTTTCAAAAAATATAAATAAAAATTAACTCTATTTTCTAAAATCAAACATTATCATAACTTCTTTAAATTTTATGTAATTTTAATTTTTCTGAACTTATCAATTTTTTCTTTCTTTAGTTGGTCGTGGGTCTTACTCTATGGAATTGGTTGACTTGACTTGGTTTTTTTTATTTGTTTTTTCTACACTTTGTTCAATTTCAAACATACATATAAATGTTATTTTGGAAATTTTAAGTTGAAAAATTGGACGTCTTAGAAGAAACTTCCTAGCACTTGATGTGTCGAACCTTTGAATTTTTTTTGGTTGGTGGGAGAAGTACAAAAGGTTCCACTTTCCCTCTTTTTCCCGACAAACAACCAAATTCATCAAATATCCCAATTAAACTGTTTTTGCACTTTACAAGAGCAAGATTCAATGAATAGTCATCTTCTTAAAGTCCAATTCCATATTCAAGTATGGAAGAAAATTAAAAATAATCTGAAAATTTTTAAAGAAAATCCTAGAAAACACTGATGAACAATAGACTCATACATGCATATATGTGTGTGCATATATATAATAGATTACTACTTGCTTTTAACTCCACTATCATTGTTTGGTACCAAAAACTCGAAGTCCAGGAAGTATATCAGACTATAGGCCCATTTCTTGTTGCTCGGTCATTTACAAATGCATTGCTAGAATCTTGGCAAGTGTTGGGAAAAACAACACCCACGCGTAGCAACCCACACACAAAATAACAAGCTCAAATCAAGAATAAAAAACACAAATATATTTGGTTCAGCCCAACTCAAAATGACCTACTCCAAACCTAATCCACTATCAAATAAATCTTTACAATTGTGAGACTTTTAAAATGAGAAAAGTCTCCTAAAACTCCTTAATCAAAACTTAACCCAAAACCCAATTACACCCTTTAATAGCCTACTCACTTAGCTATTCTCTTGATATCTAACTCTATGGGGTTACTAAACTAAAACCAAAACATCTTATTTATAAGGGTGAAACCCTTTATACCTTTACTAAACTCCCGATGTGGGATACAAGACAAATTCAAACTTACTTAACTTTCGATATGGGATTTTGAGATTCAAGGAAAATCCCAACAAATCTTCCCTTGACTTGAATCTCCAAACACTTCAACAGTATCTGCAAAGCTAACATGCTTACCTTTCTTCTTTTCTTTCATCACAGGCATTCCAGCAACTGAGCCTCCATCAAACATGTACAAGTGATTGACCCTATTCCCTTGTAGAATCACACTATCATTCTTATACACTTTCAACCAATCATTACTACCATAAAATGTGTACCCCCGAGAAGCTAACTCACCCAAAGCAATCAAATTGTAATGACAATTTGGTACATACCTTACATGACGAAGTGTCTTAATAACACCATTGTGAGATCTAAGGCGAACACTCCCAATGCCTTGAATCTGCACCTTTTCTTTGTTAGCAACCACAATATCCCCATACTTTTCATTCTCATTCAACTCCACAAAGCAGCTCCTATCATTACAAACATGAACTGTAGTAGCTGAATCTAAAACCCAACCTTTATCACTTTTCAAAGTCTGAGTCTCATCAACACAAGTTATCAAAACAACATCATCATCATCAGACACGATAGCAGTAGGATCACTTTTTTCTTCATCTGATTTCTTCTCATCATTCGCCCTTTTAAAAGCAGCCATATCCCTTCTGAGCTTCCTGTAGTGCACTTGGATATGTCCCTTCTCACCACAATAATAATATTCTACATCACTGTAATCTCTGTCTCTTGACTTGGATCTCCATCTCGATCCATCAATCTTTTTTTGAGTCTTCCTTCGATCAAAACCCTCTACAGCTAGTGTACTTTCCCCAGGTAATGAGTTTTGAGCTCTCATAAACCTTTCATTCTCACGCAACAGGGCAATCACATCATCCAACTTCAAAGTAGACCTGCCCACCAACACAGTTTGAACTAAAGGCCTATAAGACTTGGGCAAAGATGATAGCAAAATTAAAGCTTTCTCTTCATCTTTTAACTCATTAATAGAAATTGCTAGCAATTGAGAAATCAATCTATTAAACTCATTCAGGTGATTATGAAGACTCATACCTTCTTCCATCTTTAGAAAATACAGATCCATCTTCAAACATAATCTATTAGTTAATGACTTCGAAGCATAAATACATTCAAGCTTATCCCACAAGCTCTTCGGAGTACTCTTAGTCAGCATACTATACTTTACTTCTGGAGCTAACGCCAATCTAATAGTACTAACAGCTTTTTTCTGAATCTTATTCCAATTAGCATCAGACATTCTCTCAGGCTTACTACTCTCTAATGCTTGATCCAACCCTTATTGTACTAACAGATCTTGAATCGTACTTTGCCATAACATAAAATTACTCTTTCCATCAAATAACGAAACCTCAAACTTAGGCATAGACATACCAGACATACCTTCTTTAGACATCTTTAAACACTACTTCATGATCTCTTGGACCCACGAACCTTAAACCTCAAACCTCAAACCTCGCTCTGATACCATTTGTTAGGAAAAAAAACACCCACACGTAGCAACCACACACACAAAATAACAAGCTCAAATCAAGAATAAAAAAACACAAATATATTTGGTTCAGCCCAACTCAAAATGGCCTACTCTAAACCTAATCCACTATCAAATAAATCTTTACAATTGTGAGACTTTTAGAATGAGAAAAGTCTCCTAAAACTCCTTAATCAAAACTTAACTCAAAACCCAATTACACCCTTTAATAGCCTACTCACTTAGCTATTCTCTTGGTGTCTAACTCTATGGGGTTACTAAACTAAAACCAAAACATCTTATTTATAAGGGTGAAACCCTTTATACTTTACTAAACTCCCGATGTGGGGATCAAGATAAATTCAAACTTACTTAACTTTCGATATGGGATTCTGAGACTCAAGGTAAATCCCAACAGCAAGTACGCTACAACAGTATTTGCCACCCTTCATCACCAAAAATCAAAGTGCCTTTATTAAAGGAAGAAGCATAATAGACAACGTGCTTATGACCCAAGAACTAGTAAGGGGATATAGTAGAGCAACACTTTCTCCTCGATGTGCGCATAAAAAACAGACTTAAAGAAAGCGTTTGATTCCTTAAAATTGGGAATTTCTAATAAATGTTCTATTA